CTTCTCTCCCTTCCCTCCTCTCTCCTCCTTTCCCCTCGTCTCCCCTCCGCTCCGCTCCGCTCGGCTCACAGCCGCCGCCCGGTGCCCGAATGCCGCATCGCAGCCGCATCGCAGCGGGGCGGCGGAGGACCCCACCGGGGGGGCTGTGCGGGGCCGTAGGGCGGAACTGGGAGCTTTGGGAGAGCCCTGCAGTGAATCGGGAGGGTGCTGGGAGTCGCACGGGGCGCAGTGCGGAGCCTTTAGGTGCCCCTTAGAGCACACCGAGGAGCTCTGGGAGTATTATGGGATGTCCTGGGGTGCGCGGGGGGATGCTTGGGGACCTCTAGGGCGTCCTACGGACCACTGAGGAGCTTGGGGACTATTCTGGGATGCCCTAGGGTGCACGGGGGGTGTGCTTGGAGTCCTCTAGGGCACTTCGCAGAGCACTGAGGGGCTCGGGGAGTATTCTGGGATGCCTTAAGGGATACGGGGGGGTGCTTGAAGTCCTCCAGCGCATCTCACAGAGCACTGAGGAGCTCGGGGAGTATTCTGGGATGCCTTAGGGTGCACGGGGGGGGGTGCATGGAGCCCTCTAGGGCACATCGCAGAGCACGCTGAGGAACTCGAGGAGCACCCCGAGGTGTTCCAGGGCTCGGCTTGGGGTCCGCGGAGCCCTCCGAGGCGCCACACGGAGCGCTGCGGTCTCCCGGGGTGTCCTGAGATGCACCGGAGGCTCCGTGCCCGGCAACGAAGGGGTTAAAGGGGCGTGGCCACGAGTGGGCGTGGCGAGGGAGATGACGCACGCCGTCTGGCCACGCCTCCGGAAGTGAGCTCGGCGGCTGCGGCGGGCGGGCGGAAGGCGGAAGTAAGGAGCGTGAGGGACCCGGGGGGGGCGGGAGGCGGCGGCGGCGGACCCCCCCCGCGCCGGCACCGGTGAGCGGCGGCATCGCGGGGCCTCCGCTTCGTCCCCCGAGCGCCGTACGCAGCCGCCGTTCCGCTCCCCGGTGCCCGCGGGCCTCCGCGGCTCGGAGCCCAACCCTGGCGGCGGTCCCGCGGCGCTGAGCCCGCTCCCGGTTGAGGCACGGGACGATGGCGGTGACGTAGGGCCTGGGCCGCCGCCATGGCTCAGCCCCCACCGGAGGCCGCGGGGGGCGGCGGCGGCGGCAGCCGGGAGCGTTCGGCCCGGAGCCCCCCGCGCAGCGCCGCCTGGAACGGGGACTGCGGGCCGGAGCCGCCCGAAGACGACGGCAACGAGGAAGGAGACGGGGACGGCGCTTCGGCCCCCGACGGGCCCGGCCCGTGCGGCTGCCGGGAGGAGCGAGCGGCGCCCCGGGCCCCCCCGCCCCGGGACGGATCCTGCGCTCTGGGCTGCCGCCGGCGAGCCGAGCCCGGCCCCGAGGAGGGCGACGAGGACCCGGGGAAGGCGACCCGGAGGCTGCGGAGGAGACAGCGGCCGCGTTCCGCCCCGAAGGAGAAGGAGGAGAGCGGCCGGGGGCGGCGGGGCGGCGGGGCCCGGTTGAAGGCGCTGCTGGAAGCGGCGCTGAGCCCGCTGTGCTCCTGCCTGAGCGCCGGGATTGGAGGGACGGCGCCGGGCGGCGTGCGCGGATGGACGCGGCGCGTCGGCCTGAGGGCGGCCCGGGGGCTGCGGGCGGGCGGCGAGCTGGCGCTGCGGCTGCTGTGGATGCTGTGCGCGCTGCTGCTGCTGCTCCTCGTGCTGCTGCTGGGCGTGCTGCGGCTCTGCTGGCGTCTGGTGGCCGCCGGTGTGAGCGCGCTGGGCAGGACCCGGCTGGCGGAGCTGCTCGGTTCCGCCGTCCTCCGCCGGACGCGGGGGTTCCTCGGGGTGAATAGGACTTGGCGGCGCCTCTGGGCCCGGTGGCGGAGGCGAAGCGCAGCCGAGGAGCTGAGGACGGGCTGCGGGCTGGGGGATGCCGCGCCCGGCTGCGACGTGGGAGCTCCCGGCAGCTCCGCAGAGGAGGTGTCCCGGCTGCTGGCCATGGCCGAGGTGCCCGAGGAGGAGCTGAACCCCTTCCAGGCGCTGGGAGTGGAAATGACGGCGTCGGATGCGGAGCTGAGGAAGGCGTATCGCCGGCTGGCCGTGCTGGTGCGTGGGGGCTGCGCGTTGCTCACGGCCTCACCGGGATGCAGCGCTGAGTCCTCTGTGCTTTCCAGGTTCATCCGGATAAAAGTGAGCACCCGCGAGCTGAGGAGGCCTTCAAGGTGCTGCGAGCGGCGTGGGACATCGTCAGCAGCCCCGAGAAGAGGAAGGAGTACGAGATGTGAGTGGGCTGCTGTGGGGTGGGGGTTGCTGGGAGAAGGGTGGCTGCCAGCTCGAGTTCCTGCCCCAAAGCTCATGTCTTGGAGATGCTTTGGCTGCTGGCCCCACGCAGGGCTCTGACTGCGGCTCTCTCCCTGCGGTGGCCGCAGCAAGAGGATGGCAGAGAGCGAGCTGAGCAGGTCGGTGAGTGAGTTCCTGAGCCGGCTGCAGGATGACCTGAAGGAGGCCATGAACACCATGATGTGCAGCAAGTGCCAGGGCAAGCACAGGTAGGGCCCGAGGCTCCAGCTGTAGGCACAGCGCTCCAGACAGAAGAGCCACGCTGGGGGCTGAGATGGTGCTGCTGTTGCAGGAGGTTTGAGATGGACCGTGACCCACTCAGTGCCCGCTATTGTGCTGAGTGCAGCCAGCTGCACCCCGCCGAGGAGGGCGACCTGTGGGCTGAGTCCAGCCTGCTGGGGCTGAAGATCACCTACTTTGCCATGATGGATGGCAAGGTGTACGACATCACAGGTGGGTGCATCGCGTCCCCGAGCTTCAGCAGGGTGAGTGTGAGCCCCCCGTGATGCCACGTGTCTCCCCACAGAGTGGGCTGGCTGTCAGCGTGTGGGGATCTGCCCGGACACCCACCGTGTCCCCTACCACATCTCCTTCGGGGTGCGGAGTGCTGGCGCAGGCGGGCGGCAGAGGTCAGAGCTGGCAGCAGGATGGGGAACCCCAGGGGTTGGGGAAATGGGGGCTCTATATGTGGGCACTGGGGCTGTGTGGGACCCCCAGATTCCCACCCAGCACTGCTTGCCACCAGCAGGAGCAGCTCCAAGGGCAGCCCCAGCTCTGCTGCCGACCTGCAGGATTTCTTCACCCGCATGTTCCAAGGGACCTCAGGACAGGTGCCTGGGGGGTTCCCACCTCCCCCTGCCCCCACAGCTCCCCAGGGGGCCACAGCTGGGACCACAAGGACCGAGGGGGCCGCCCCCAAGAGTGACACCAAGCACAAGAGGAGGAAGAAGGTGCGCCGGCCCTTCCAGCGCTGAGTGTGCTGTGCAGGGCTGCAACGTGGAGGCCCCAGCTCAGTGCTCATGGACTCTCCCTGGCCAGGGATGATGGTGCTCTGTTGGGCACTATAAGGGCTCTTCTTTCAAATAAAATCTATTTTTTGTTGTTTTTTTGGGTTTTTTGTTTTTTTTTGTTTGTTTTTTTAAATTGATGTATATATTTCAAAGTAATCTGGGAGTTTCTAAGCTGATGTGCCATAAGTGGTGGCACTGCTGGAACCAGCTGAACCAAAGGACCCCGGAATGGCACACACATGCAGGACGTGCTGTAAGCACTGGGCTGCTGCTTTCCCTTCACATGAGGACACTGCTGTGCTCTGTGAGTTCTTTATTACAGACATGTACAAAATGTGAAGACAAAGGAGGCATGGAGTGGTTACTCTTTCCACCAGTCAACAGTTCTCCCCTTCTAAGTGCTTTCCCATTGCCACACAAGGGTTTAGCTTAAGGGAAACACGCATGCAACATGCCTCACTCGCTTCATACAACCCCACTGTACACCTCTTCACCAAAGCACCAAGAGATAAAGCCTCAGTGAGGCACTCCTAAGAGACGCAGGACCCTTACCAAAAAAAGCCCTTGCAAAAAGACCTGCATGCAACTGCACAGCAGCCCCACGGTCCCTGGCGTGCCCAGCCCTGCTCCTGCATCCTCCCCTTACCCCACAGTGCCAGCCCAGCCGCCCACCTCCAGCTCTGCCATCCTGTGGGAAGCTCTGTGTGGCACAGTGGGAGCGTGGGCTCAGTATTTGTTGATGCCAAAGACCCTCACGCCGTGGAACTGGGGCAGCTTGGGCAGGAGGACGCTGAGCAGGGAGGCGGTGTTGATCATGAAGTGCGCGGGGTCGTACTTGGTGTAGAAGCTGGTGAGGAGGTACCTGGGGAGGGAGTGAGATGCAGGTTAGTTCTGTACCACTCTATGCTTCCCCAAACCAGCTATTTTGGCTGGTTTCCTGTATAAAACCCAGCACCTCTCAGGTGAGAGAACTTTCCAAACTCCAGGACCTGTCTATGCCAAGGCTGAGTGCACTGAATGCACCAGCAGCAGCCCTCCTAGGCACACCACTTCACTCCCCTATGCCTTGTTCAGCGTGAAGCAGCACTCACAGCACTACGGGGGAGATGCTGAGGAATTTGCGTGAGGAGGTGCACTGCATCCCATAGTCAATCTGCTCCCAGTGTGTCAGCAGGCGATCCTTGCCTTGGTCCGGGGTTTCAAACGGCGTTCCCTTCACTGTGTGCAACAGCAAATACATGACCTGTGGGTTTCAAGTGAAAGGAGGCAGAAGGTGAGCGCAGGATGGGGACACAGGCAGTGGGAACGCTGGGATGGAGCCAAGGAGATGGAACTGGGCAGCTCCGGGATGCAGAGAGCTTCAGATGAGGCTCACTCAAAGTTTTGCTCCAGGAGAGCAACACAGAGGCATAGCAGCCTGGCCTGTGCCTCAGCAGGATGTGAGAAGACAACAGTAGCATGTGTGGGACTGGAGGAAAGGCAGGGAGAGCTGAGAGCTCTGTGCAGAGCCATGCCACGGGACAGAAATGTGCTCTGTGTGCTCTCACAGCTGTTTCCCAGGCCAAGGAGCTTCTGTCAGCAATGGTTCTCCACAGAACTGGGTCTGGAAGCATTCCTTGAACCCCAGCACTTCCCATACCTGGGGACAAGGCGCAGTGCCCAGCACAGCAGGGCTGAAAGGGTAGATAACTGCAGGACAAGGGGAAATGATCTGAAGTTGAGGGAGGGCAGATTGAGGTTGGATGTCAGGGGGAAGTTCTTTGCTGTGAGAGCGGTGAGGTGCTGGAACAGCTGCCCAGAGAAGCTGTGGATGCCCCGTCCATCCCTGAGGTGTTGAAGGGCAGCTTGGATGGGCAGCCTGGTCTAGCATTAAATGGGGAGGGTGGTAGCCCTGCATGTGGTGGGGGGTTGGAGATCTGTGATCCTTGAGGTCCCTTCCAACCCAACCATTCAGTGATTCTGTGACACGGCTGTCAAACATCAGCTGCACTGTGGCCCTGGGAGGGAGCAGCTGAGCTGTGACTCACCAGGTTGTGGATGACGTTGGTGAGTGTCCACACCACAGGGATGCTGAAGAAGGGGATGCTGAGGAGGATGATGTGAAGCACCGCCACTGAGATGACGTAGGCCAGCCAGATCCCACGGCTGCTCATCACCCGCGTGTTGGGGTTCACCTCGCTGTGCGCCACGCCGACGTTCATCCTACAAAGAACCAAAGGCTTCTGGGCCTCAGCGGTTCTCCCACACAGAATCATAGGGAATTCACAGAATCGCAAGGTTGGAAATGACCTACAGGATCATCCAGTTCAACCGTCCCCCATCACCATTGCTACCACAAGCACTAAACCAAATCTTGTAGCTCCTCATCCAGACGCCTCTTGAACACTGCCACAGATGGCGACTCCACCGCCTCCCTGGGCAGCCATTCCAGCGCCTGACCACTGAGAGAAAAGTTCTTCCTTATGTCCAACCTAAACCTCCTCTGACACAACTTGCAGCCGTTTCCCCAGGTCCTGTTCGTTGCCTGGGAGAAGAGGCCAAACCCCTCCTCACCACAACCTCCCTTCAAGAAGCTGTAGAGCGCAATGAGGTCCCCCCTGAGCCTCCTCTTCTCCAGACTGAAGAACCCCAGCTCCCTCAGCCGCTCCTCATCAGGTTTGTGCTCCAGACCCCTCACCAGTTTCGTTGCCCTTCTCTGGACACGTTCCTCAATGTCTTCCTTGCAGCGAGGGGCCCAAAACTGAACACAGCACTCGAGGTGCGGCCTCACCAGGGGATGATCAGCTCCCTGCTCCTGCTGGCCGCACCGTTTCTAACTCAGCCCAGGATGCCTTGGCCCCCTGGTGACACTGCTGGCTCACGTTCAGCCCAGCACCAACCAACGCCCCCAGGTCCCTTTCCTCTTCACACTCATCCAGCCACTCAGCCCCGAGCCCGTAGCGCTGCATGGAATTCCGAATCGGGAAGGAGAGCCCCGCGGTTCTCAGCCCCGCTCCACGGCGCCGATCGCGGCTCAGCCCGCGGAACGACGGAGCGGCAGCGCCAAACGCCGGGCCCGGCCTCCCGCTTCTCTCCGTCACGGAGGCCGTAGGGTCGGAAAGCAGCCCTGAATCCCGCCGGCTCTCGGCCTTGGCCGCGTCCCTCCGGTCCCCCGGTCCCGCTCCCTTCAATCCCGGTCCCCCGGTTCCGACCCGCTCCCGGCCCGTTTACCCTCCGGTTCCGCAGACACCGTTGCCAGGACCCTGCCCGCCCCAGGCCCGTCTCCAGGAAGTCACCTCACTCCCGACCCGTTGCCACCATTGGCTGCTCCGTGACTTTCCTCCTCTTCCATTGGTGACTGTGCCTGTCCTTCAGTACGTCCCCGCCCCCCGCCCGCTGGCAGACCAATAGTAGAGCGAGGAGATAGACCAATAGAGCGCGAGGAGTCAGTGAGAACCGACCAATCGTAAGGAGCGATGTTGAACGGCGGTTTGAAATCACCCGTTCAGAAAGCGCAGCCGTGATTGGGCGGTGAGCTGCCGGCGGGGGCGGAGCCGGCAGCGGGCTGTGGGGGCGACAAGATGGCGGCGGAGACCGTGGAGCTCCACAAGTTGAAGGTAGCGGCGGCCGCTCCGCTCCTAACGGCGGTCCTGCGGCTCGGGCGTCGCTTCCCACACGCGGAGGGCTTTGCTCTATCTGGGCTTTGGCTCCCAACGCGCTCAGGTCCCGGGGCTGCCGCCGGTAACGGGGCTGTGGGGGAGGTCGGGCCTTGGAGGCGCTCCGGTTCCGCCCTCTGGCCGCGGGGCCGCGCTCTGCTCGGCCTCGGTTCGGCCCGGTGCCCTTTGCGAGGCTTCCGTCCCCGTCTGTGGGCGCCGGGGGGTGACCCTGGGCCTGGCCTCGTGAGTGGGGAAGAAGGAGGAAGGAGCCGGAAGAGTTCCTTAAAAAGGGAATTAAAAAACGGCGGCTTTGCGGTGTGTTATCGCATCTCGTGGTTCTCGGGGTTTTTATGCCTGTGAGCGAATCACGCGTCCTAACGGGCTGCTCTCCTTCCCCGCAGTTGGCCGAGCTGAAGCAGGAGTGCCTCGCCCGTGGGCTGGAGGCGAAGGGCAACAAGCAGGATCTGATCAACAGGCTGCAGGCCTACCTGGAGGAGCACGGTGGGTACCGGAGTGCTGGGATTCCCAACTCCCCCTCCCCCCCCGTAGGCAGTTTCGGTGCTGAGAGAGCCCCCAGGCTTCAGCTTTTGTGTGGGAGTGCTGATTGGAGTGCTTTGCTGCGATGTGGCTTCTCAGCTCCCCGTTTTATCAACTGGGCTTTATCTGAGAAGCCGAAGGTATCGCCGAGTAATTTGGGTCAGCGATTGATGTATTATTTTCTTCTTTAGCTGAAGAAGAAGCAAACGAAGAGGATGTTCTGGGAGAAGAAATAGAGGTAAAGCTGCGGGACGGGCTGTTGCGTTGGCGGCGTTTGGCCTCTGGGTGGCTGTGTTGGGCATTGCTGGAGAGAGCAGTGCACCGAGCAGCAGCAGTGCAGGAGCTCTGCTGTGTTTAAAGGACTGCTGAGCTTCGCTGTTGGATCTGAACCGGCCGGTTTTGGTGCTGGAGGGTCAGTGTTGCTGTGTTTGCATGGAGTGTGAGGTGGTGTGGGGGTTTCATAGAATCATCATAGAATCATAGAATGGCCTGGGTTGAAAAGGACCACAGTGATCATCTGGTTCCAACCTCTGCTATTTGCAGGGTCACCAACCATCAGACCAGGCTGCCCAGAGCCACATCCAGCCTGGCCTTGGATGCCTGCAGGGATGGGGCATCCACAGCCTCCTTGGGCAACCTGCTCCAGTGCCTCACTACCCTCTGTGTGATAAACTTCCTCCTCATATCCAACCTAAACCTCCCCTGTCTCAGTTTAAAACCATTCCCCCTTGTCCTATCACTATGCACCCTCGTAAACAGCTGTTCCCCCTCCTGTTTATGAGCTCCCTTCAAGTCCTGGAAGGCCACAATGAGGTCTCCCTGAAGCCTCTTCTTTTCCAAGCTGAACAAGGCCAGTTCCCTGTTTCTTCATAGGAGAGGTACTCCAAAGTTTCTGGAAGAGTTTGTGGTCGTGGAATGAGGCTGCTGTTTCAGAAGGGGGAATTCTGCTTCTTTTCAGGAGTCATGCTGTTGTTCTGTGTTTGTTGTTAACAGAAAATGTCTGCTGAGGTGTGTTAGGGCCTCCTTGCTAAGAGCACAACATCAAACTGGTGCCCTTTAAGTTGGCAGAGCTGGGCTGCAGGAGGGAGCGAGCCTCAAAACTGAAGCTTTATGTTCTGGGAAGCGCAGAGATCCTGGCTGGAAGAGTTTTCTGTGCTCAAAACACCAGCAGAAAGCAGCTCTGCTGCTCAGCACTGCAGGAATTTGTGCAGTGTATGGGAGCTTTCTCCTGTTGTCTGTGAAATTCTTGGTGGGAGAAGTGAAATGGGCCTTACCAGATGAGCGTCAGACACTGAGTGTCAGCACTGTGTGGTTCTGATGCTCTTTGCTGGTTCTGCTTGCTGGATTGAGAATGTCTCAGTTGGGACAACTTCCTAAGCCTGTCAATCCCAGGCTTTTTTGTAAGGCTTTGGGGGTTAAAAAGAAAAGGAAAAAAAAAAAAAAAAAGAGAACAATCAATTAATGTCCATAAGGTTACTCATATACTGGTAGATGAAGGCTGGGAGCACCAAAGGTTGCTTCCCACTGCACACTTTGCCTTATTGGGCAGAGTCAAACCCCACTGGGGAGGTGGAGAGGAGATTTCAAGCACACAAGTCCTTCAAGTGGGAGACAGCAGCAAGGGGTTCCTTGGTGATGTGTGGTCTTACCAGCTTCTCTAGCATGAAATTCAGAAACCTATGGATATGTTCAGGCTGAACTGCAGGCATATTGCCTCTGAGAACCCAGAAGACCTGGTGCTGCCCTTGCTGTGATGTTTTGCTCTTGCTGAGCTGACTGGGATGCTCTCTGACCTCCTCCCAACTCATTGCTTTGCAGGAAGAAGAGCAGAAACCAGCAGAGCCACCCACCAAAGTAGAAGAGCCTCCTGTAAAATCGCCTGATGTGTAACTATCCTTTCTGCTTAATCCAAAGCAAAACCTATGGGGAATGCTGTAACATGAGAGGTGCATGGTGGGGAGAGCTCTGCCTGCCCCAAATGCTTGCAGGCTCTTTTCAAGGCTCGGTGAGACCATCCTGTGGCTGGAGGGGCTGCAGCAAGGGGAGCTGGACTTCTGTGGCCTGATGGCTTTGCTGGGGGAGCTGTGTGGGAAGCCCTGAGCGCGGGGAGCGTGCCTGGCCCCAGCCAAATTGCTTCCTGTGAAAGTGTCATTAAACCATTACTACCTTTCAGGGCATAAAATGAGAAACCTGTCCAGGAATCTGGAACAAAAGCAGCGCGTTTTTCTAAATGGGAGACCTTAATGAGGCTGGCTGTGACCTACTGTTTTATGGGAGTTTTTTAGAGGAGGATGATGCTATTTCGTTTAGCCTGGGAACTTCCGAACTTTGTCTCTTCCTCCTTTGTTTTCCCCCCCTCGAGCCTGAGCTCTGTTTTCTGAGCATAAACTTTAGAGCACGCCCACTCCATTATATTTTTGTTCAGTCTTTTTACTGGTCCTGCTGTTGTCAGCTGCACATTGTTCAGGAAGTGTGTGTTTGAAATGGAGCCTGAGCCCGGGACGCTGGTGCTGACCTGGGGAGAGCTGCCTGGGGCTGTCCCATGAACTAGAACAGAATGATCCTTTGTATTTCAGGGCCATAAAGGAATAAAGCTTCTCAGGGCATGCAGTTGAGACTTTGGGCTTCTAACAGGAGCTGAATGTTGCCCCTAAGAGCTTTAAGATGTGCAAGAGATTGTTCCTGGGTATGCAGATCTACAGCCTCTTGCTGTAATACCCACCCCGTATGTTCCTGCAGCACCCCACTGAAATTGCAGGATGTTTCTCGTGCCTTAAACAGAGTTCATTTCTCTCTCCAAGCCTTTGTGGAGAATAGATGTGAGTGCTGAGGGTGGTTCTTGTGGTATGTGATCTTCTGGGGCTTCCAGCTTTCTCCCATCATTACTAAAGGAACTTGGGGGTGCTGAAGGCAGTTACTGAGCTAGGAGGAGAACTGGTGGCTGCATCTTCACCAGCTCCTTTGTTTCCCTGCACATCTCAGACTTTACTTGCAAGCTTCACAGACTTCAGACTCTAGAATCACTATCAGGGCTCTCAGCCTGCTCCTTTAACAGGGATGCTGGCTTGGGGCTGCTTTCCTCTTGAGAGCAGAGCCTCACTTGAGGCTGGGGTTCCTCAGAGATGGGGGTTAGGAAGAGAACCCTGATCTGTCTCCCACTCAGGTGTGCGTGTGAAGCTGTTGGGAATTCTGACTGATGTTTCTCTTTCCCAACACCTGTAGGAGCACGGAAAAGAAAGTAGTGAAAATAACATCGGAAATCTCACAGATGGAGGTAAGGTTCCTTCTGCTACTTCACCCTCATCCCCGAGGTATCGCTTGGCTTGTTGCTTCATTCAGAATCTCTTTTGTACATTGCTGGGGCTGTGTTTCTGTTGCAAACCATTATTTTGGCTTGGTTAATTAATTGGTTATTAATGACCAGTCCGTGGCTGCGGGCTGATCTAGCAGCATGCTGACCCCACAGCACAGTCCATTTTGCTGTGATCTTACGGAATGCTTCTCTCAGCTGTCTGGAGGTGCATCCTTCCTTGCTGCCATTCCTGTTTGCCCTCAGCCAACTGACTCTATGTTGATATTTCCAACTTAGAGACGAGCTGAGCTGCTCCTGGTGCATCCTTCCATTGCAAGCATGACTTAGGGACTTCACTGTCTAAATTGTGCTTCCCTTCCTGCTGCTGGGAGCATGCAGCATTCGCTGCAGAGATCCCCATCTCTGTCCCTTGGGGATTGCTGCAAGCCTGCTTGCTTCAAACACAAAACTACAAAGCTTTGCTGAGGATATCCTTCGGGGAATAATCAATTTGGGAGACACTAACGGATCAGCTCATCTTTATCTTCTGTAGCTTTGCCACTTGTATTTGCTGGGCTTACTTAAAACAAACACTCTCAGAAGCCACTGATTCCTTTGGGAAAGCTTTGTGAAACTTGGAGTTTCAGGATTCTCACTCTGGTTCTCTAATCACACTCCCCCCCCATTTTAGTTTTCCACTCATGCTCCGTAAGAAAGCAGTCAGTATGAAAACATGATTCTTGTCTTCCTGCTGTTCACTGCTGCTTTAAAGCTCTAATCTCCTGTTTGGGACAGGATCATTTCCACAGCAACCAGGGGGATGTCGCAAGCAGAGGATTATGACCTCAGCTGAAGAAGTAATGAAGAGAAATGTGGTACCTGGTGGAGGATCGATGTCCCCCTGTGATTTGGGGCTGCCCTTGGCCATAGCTGCTTAAAGAGCTCATTAACAGATCTGCTGACGTTACACTCTTATCCTTTGGGGGTTTTTTTTCCCCTCAAATTCCATAGAGCCAATTCACAGGAAAACCACTTTTTTTTTTTTTTTTGTGAGGCTGTGTATGAATTGGATGGCTTCAGATCTTTTAGAAGAGGGCATAGAGTTATTTTTCCATACCGTGCATCATTGATTATCAGAGGTAGGCTGCTCCAGTTGTAGGAAGTATTGACCGTTTCATAAAGCAGGGAGACACATCACTGGCAGGGAAGCCCAACCAATCTTTGCCAATTGCCCAAGCCTACTCTTGTTGAGACTATTACTATAACATACACATTTAATACTTCTAAATATCAGAACCCATAGGGTTGAGAGGAGAAGGACTACATTTAGACATTGCACCTGGTTAGATAAATATTAACTGGGTCTGGTTTACTTGTTTTCAGCAATAGCAGAATATTGAAAGACTTCATTCACTGATGGAAGGTCAGAGGGTTATTTCTTTGTGGGATGACCTGAGCTGTGTTGCCACTGCCTTCTTTTGGGCTGTTGATCCAGCATGGCTTTTGTGTGGCCGCCCACTCTATTGCATATTTCTTTTGGATATCCATCAAAGAGTGAGGATAAGGAAGTGTGCTTTGACCTGTCTTTCAAGTGACTTCTCAGCTTCAGTGCTGACACCATTAGGAGTGGCATTCCTAATCCATCTTTTCCAAACATTTATGTTTTGATGCAGATGTTTATTGCGCTCCTTGCTGAGCTTTTGGCCAAAGGAAATGTTTCCCTGAAAATCCTATCTGTTTCTCTAACCTCTAAAACACCAAACGCATTTCTGGGCCCTTGTGTAATAATAAAATGTGAGATATTTCCTTTCAGCTTTTAAGGGGATTTGAATGTTTTTTTGGTGCGCTTCTGACATTCCCAAGCCTCTCTGTGTCTCGGGCACATGCACATGGAAGCGTTCACCCATCCTGTATTAAGTCTGTGTGCCTCTTTCCATTTCCTTTCTGTAGACTTCGAGTCCTCACTCTCCTTCTCTGGATTCTTTTTCTCCCACCTCCAGAGAATGCAGAAGAGGGCTGAGCGCTTCAACGTGCCCGTGAGCCTGGAGAGCAAGAAGGCAGCGCGTGCAGCTCGGTGAGTCCCCCATTCTCACCTGGCACAGACAGCAGCTGTGTTGTTGTGATGTGGCTCTTTTCCCATTGAAATAAGTGAGGAGTTGCTGTTGGCACACGTAGGAGTTTCTGTGGTAGTTCCATTAGCCAGTAATTCCCGGATCCCAGCTCCTCTCAACCAGTTTGACTGAGGTACACCTAAGAAAAGCATTTGAAGGAAGAATTCACGTTGTGCTTACTGAAGGCTTGATGTGTTAGATACCCACCTCATGTTTGCTTGGGTCTCTCACTGAGCTCTATTTACTTTCTGCAGGTTTGGTTTGGCCACAGTTTCGACAAAAGGTGAGAAGGTGAAGCAGAACCAATTCATGGAGTGACCTTACTGCAAATATTTATTTATTCCTGGGAAAGAAAAAGTTGCTGGTGAGGCTGTCTTTGTTTTACCATCTGTCCACGCCCAGGGTTGGTTTCTGAGCAGGATTTGTAGAGTTGGGATGAAAAGCATGTGTAAAGTCTTATGGGTGGGAAAAGCTGACTTGGGGATGAAATTTGGTGACTCATCCTTGAGTGAATGATATAGAAACTGGGAGAAATGGGACAGCAGTTCTTCACCAGTTGGTGGTCAGACTGGTGTGTGCTTCCAGCGGTGCTGTGACTTTACTGCTCCTCTTTTCAGATAAATTACTGCTCCAGATGTTTGTTCTCTAACTGAGTTTTCTGTTTTCTTCTCATCTCAGGCCTCTCTGCAGACAGCAAACCTACGGTAAGAGATGCTTCTTGTTCCTAAATTTCCTCTGCTCAGGTTCTTAATACAGCTTGTGATTTGTGCAAAGAAGCTCCTGCCTGTGGGAGTAAACTGAACCATCAAAATGGTCCAAGAACAACATCTGTAGAGTGGGAGCTAATGAAGTTGCCTACCTGGATGTTGTGCTTGCATCGACTTTATAGGTTCCCATCCCTCTACAGTGTTTGGCAGGAAAATCCCAGGCAGGCTGGGTGCTCTGCTTGGTCATGGCAGCTGATGTGATGTGTTTTGGAAGAGAGAGGGTGCGGCAACAGCTTCTTAAACTACAGCAGCCAGAGAGCAGTGACAAGTCTAGGAGCACTGGCAAGACTGCCTGAGGAGCTTTGTTTGCTGTTTGTGTTGGCCATGCTGCTTCAGGGCAGGTATCAGGTCCAGCAGGGCAGATATCAGGTCCAGCAGGCTCACAGGAGCAGTCTGAATCTGCTGGCCCTTCAGGAGCGGACCACCAGCCCGGTGTTTGTCCTTTGGTTGTTCTGAGCAGTCTGGGGCTGCTCCATCTGGGTTCTGCCTTCAGGCCCAGCTTCCCAACAGCACCAGCTGAGTTTTGGGGGAGCACAGCACTGGGGTTTTATTCTGGGGGCTGCAGCACACGGTTTCTTCTGGCAGAGCCTTCTCCCTGCAACGTGAGCGACGGTGATTTAAAAATCAGTTTCCTGTGTCTTTGTAGGTAAACATGGATAAATTAAAGGAAAGGGCTCAGAGGTTTGGTTTGAATGTCTCTTCGCTCTCCAAGAAGGTAAGGTGCATTGGCCTCCAGGACACACTTTGCACCTCCAGAGGAGCCCAGGGCTCATAGCACACAGTTCAAAGCCTCCTCACTGCTGGAGCTTTTACGTCGTGTTATTAATGCAGCAGTGTGGGCTCCGGGCCCCGGGAGACTCATGTCAACATCATTTCCTTCATCTTTCCCTCTGTTTGTTTTGTGTGAGGCTTAATACGGTTTGGAGAAAGTTGTGACGGGTGAATAGAGGTGTTGAATTTTAAGGTTATCAGTCTGGTTTGGACACGGGAAGGGAGGCTGTGTAGCAGGCTGTGTAATTTGGATTGTTTTCGGGTGTTTCTGTGTAAGTGCACATTTCTGACTGGGGGTAGAAGCCAGGTCTGTAAAGAGCAAGGTAATGAGCTCTCTGAAGAGCTCCCTGGTAACTCTTTGAAGTACAAATGAGGTGAATTTTGGAGGGGGATAAATTCAGTCTCAAAGCTTTGGAGAAATACTCCCAAGCTTCTGAGCGTGGTCTCCCTCCAGTCCTTGTGTGTAGCAGCTGATTTCATTGATACCTTTGTGTGTTGGGCAGGGGATGGGACGGGGGGCTGTGGGGCAGGCAGCAGGGCATGCTGGGGACACACGTGGCTGTGATCATTCCCCGATGAGCCAGGAAAAGGTGGATGCAGCATGTTTGGGTAAAACAGGAGGAAGGATAAATATATACAGTGAGATGAGAATGGCATCCTGTGTGCTTCCTGAATGGAAACGGCCCCGTTCCTCTTCTGGCCTTTAACAACCCTCGTGCTGCAGCTCTGCTCAGAAATAGCGGGGAATGAAAAGAATTGTCCAGTGATAACAGCTGGGTGATGTTGGCATGGAGACTTCTCCTCTCAGCCTGGAAAGGGTAAGAGCTCGGGGAGGTTGATCTTCCTTCATCCCTGCGAAATGAGCCCCTCTCCTCCTCGGGGGGATGGATTTGACCTTTTTTGCTGCCTGTTTCTCTATGTATGAGCGTTCCGCTTTATTCCACCGGCCCTGGGAATTCACTGATGTAGAAAATATCTGGCATTGGAGGTCGCTGTTTCCCGGCACCCCCCCAACCCACCCCCCTCCCTCCTTCCCTCCCCTGTCCCTTTGGGGGTGGGGGAAGGAGGGCAGTGCATTAAAGCCGGGATACATGGAGCTCAGGGTGAGAGGCTGCTCAAACATCATTAACCCTGTCACCAGGAGCTCCCATTTTTCAGGAGGAATATATGCCTTGTCAGTGTTTTACGGCCGTGGCCTTCTCTGGGCAGGACTGTGAGTCCACAACTCAACAACAGGGCAGCGGGGAGCAAAAACCCCAAACCCCAGGGCACAAAGTGGGGGCTTCCTGAGCTCTCTGAGTGCTGCTGAGCTCCTCCTGCATAGATGGAGCCTCAGCAGCAGGGCAGAGCCATGCCCAGGGCCACGAGCCTGCTCACCAGCTCTCCCTGCAGCTTCCCCACTCGGCCTTTGTGCCCACCTCGCTGCACTGTGTCCTTTTATTCCTATTTTTTTTTTTGGGGGGGGGTTTTGCTCCACCAAAGGAAGTCGAGTTCACGGGCTTAGAAGTGGCTTCTCCCACTGAGCGGAACACACTCGCATTCCTGGGAGGAAGATTATTGGTTACTTTAATTAGCTGGTAGCATTGTGCTTCCCACCTGGGTGTTCTTTATAGCTTTTCATTACGGGGGAGCCTGGTGGTTGCGAATGTTTACATGTGTCTTGGCAGGTTTTTTATACCGTGCGTTGCAGGAAAAAAAAAAAAAACCAAAAAAAAAAAACAGAAAAAAAAACAACTTTACAATAAACCATTGTCTCTGCAGAGCCACACTTCATTTCCCATTCAAATTGGTTTGGGGAGGGGTAGGGATGTGAGGGGGAGAATCGTAACTAAGGGGGGATTTCAGCCCCGCTGTGAGCAGGGAGCAAATGCAGAGCTGCGTTAGTGGCTGTGAACTCATCTGTAGCTTTGAACCCCCCCCTCTTCCCCCTCTGTTAGCCCTCTGGGGTAGAAATCTTTCAAGTTGAAAATCCTCTTCCTCTCTGCCCAAAGGGGGAAGCGAGACGCAGCGCTGGAGCAGGGCAGGGAGCTGGGCTGCATGGGAGCAAGAGAGGCAGGTGCTCATTTGTCTCAAGGCAGCACAGGGCCATCAAATTAATTTCTAAAATAAATCAAGCAAGCGTTTATCTCCCCGTAGCACTGACTCTCCCCTTCGAGGCCTCCTGTTAAAGCGCACGCTCTTCTGACCCACAGCTCCCATCCCTTGACTCCTGTTAGCTGTACTTAACCCCCCACACTTGTAAATGTTCCCTCTCTGCGGCAGCTGCTCCCTGTGCCGCTCCGGCTCCGCTCCCCAGGGGAGGATGTGGAGCTTCGTGTTTTATATGCAGGGTTGGATGCAGCAGAGGGGGTTGCCCACGCTGTGGCCGTGGTTCAGAAGCATCTCTCTGAGGGGATGCTTTGCTCTTTATGTATAAAATAGTCTCATAAGTCTCCCGCTGAGAAAGCGCTGGCACCAAATGGATAGCGAGAGCCCCTGGGAGAGCATAAAAGCTCTGTTTGCCACCTTTGTGTGACATTATCAAATACCTTCCTGGATCCGAACAGATGACCAAAATAATTGGCTTTTCTATCTCCTCCTTGACGCGGAGGTCTCAAACTGCCTCGCAAAGCAATTAGCTGATTAACCCTCCTCTGTTCGAGGCCGGGCACGGGGAGGTGAAGCTGGGGGGGTCATCGGGAGTCCGGAGTGTATCCCTGGGCTGCAGGGAACAAAGGATCCCGGGGGGGATGTACGCACCCAGCCCCATTCTCACCATCCCTGGGTGACTTTTTGGGTAGGATAGGGGGCTCTGTGCTGAGGGGTGGCCTCGGCAGCACCCTTATTGGCTACAGATCCCCTTGGGGAACTTCGCTTGTGTTCGCAGAGCTGTCAGCCTTCCATTTTGCTGCTGGAGTGCAGCAACGCCGGGCTGCAAACAGCAGCAACAGCGTCGGGGCCGACGTGGCTGGGAAGAGTTAACGTTTTAATGCGTCCATCAGTCACGGCTGTAGGTTAACACTGCTTTAATTCTCGTTAATGAGAGCTTATTTCTCATGCGGCAGCTGAGAACCGCTGTGCGCACTGCCTGCTATTAGCCAAGGAGAGCTGGCCTGCTGCTGCCTGACGTCGGCGTGGGGATGGGGGAGAGCAGGGGGCAGGAGAGCAGGGAAAGTTGTGTGTATACAAAATACTGAAATGAGAGAGGGAGAGAAAACAGTTGGCTTAATTGTTTGGCTTCCAGCGAGCTTTGCAGTAACGTGCTGAGGAGAGGAATCCTTTTCCTGGAGAGTTTTTTCTGCCTGCCATCTTTCCAAACAACCCCTGCCAACCTCTGGAGGAGAAACAACCGCCAGGGAAGCAGGGAGGAGGTGGTGGGGAGAAGTGCTGATGTTGGCAAAGAGGAAGGGGATTGGTGGGAGAGGAGGATTGCTTCTGGTTGACACCGGGGACAGGGCAGAACGTGGTGACGTGCGCCGGCAGCTCTGCGCAGTGTGATTGATTCCTGTGGTCGGTTTGTCCTCAAGAAATGAGTCTTGCCGTCTCTCCTGCTCGGCCTGAGAGGGCACATCTACCCCTCTGTAATTTCCTCTCCCCAAATTTCTCTATTTCTGGCTGTTGTGGGCTTCGTGTTGCTCTGCTCTGCATCTTCTGTGCTGGGACACAGCGCAGAGATGAGCCTGCTTCTCTGCGTTGGAACCCAGGCACTTCTCTTCCACTTTTGAATGCATTTGGGGCATCTTAAGAGCTACTTTAGGTAATTTCCAGAGGGTTTTCTCTCTCCCTCTGAGCTGGACCAGTAGTAACCAAGGCAGCTGCATTTATTGGGGGGGGAGGGTTGAAAATTGCCTTTGTTTTACTTTTTAAAGAAGAACTAAAACACGTTGCATGTATTTGCACGTTAGAAAAACTTTTCAGCAGGAAGCAGAAACTAGGTCAGAATAAAAGAATGCAGCCAGAATGTGTGCAAGCAAAGTCAGAACTGTCCCAGTGCAAAGCAATGGCCCTTGCGAGGAGCATGCTGCAGGCTGACAGCAGCCCCTGCAAACTGCAGGAATGCTTCTGGAGGAATGAGCAGATGGCTCAGAGGTGTTCAGTGCCTTTTGGCATCACTTGTGCTGAACAAGTGGCTGGGAAGGGTGTATATAGGAAGGGAAGCTTTGGTCTTCGTGGGATGGAGCAGCGTGGGGTCACCTCAGCTGCAGTGCTTCTGCAGGTAAACGCTGGCAACTTCCGTGTAAGGATTTATGGGATCCCTTGGAAGGCTCCAAGGCTGCTGGGGGGCTTTGGCTGCGTGCAGCACCGCGTGCCCTCACCGTGCTGATCTCACTGCCTCTCCTTCCCCCCCCCCAGCCCTGCACGGCGATGTCACCCCGAGCAGAGCAGCTGAATGAGGCCTGCTGGGCTAAGATAATGGGAAGTGACAAGGTGAAGAATAGTGCTGGCAGCCGTGGGCGTTGTGGTGTGAGGGTGCTGCACGGCCCCTGCCCCCTCCTGGGTTGCCCTGAAGGGAGGTTCTGCATCGTGGCCTGGGCTGAGTGTGCGCTCCTGGTGCTGTGGGTGGGTGTGCAGCCCTGTTCCTGCCTTGAAGTCCAGCAGCTGAGCCACGGTGAGGATGTGGCTGCGGGACAGAGGGCTCAGCAGAGCCTGAAATGGACCCAAAGGACATTCCCCTAGGCTGTAATCCGGTGGGAAGTAAGATCTGAGATCACGGGGCAAATGCAGAGATGGAGCAGACTTTATTTTTGATCCTTTTGTGGGTTTTTATTTTAAAGACAAAGCAACAGTTTCCCCAGGAGAGGCTGTGACATTCTCTGCTGGCACAGTGATCTCTGGCTGAGGCAGTGCAATAACCCCCCGCTCTGGGAGCAGGGATGCATTGTGGCTTCCAGCCCCTGGGCCCTGTGGTCCAGCCTGTGGCATTGTGCAAGAAAAGGAAGCTCTCTTCTTTCCTAGAAGGCATAT